GGGGGGGGGGGGGAGCAGGGGGGGTCTGCCGGGCGGCTGCGGGAAAACCTGGGCGAGGATTGCTTGGTTACTGATATTGGGAAAGCACATCACGAGTGTCTACATCTACATTGAGCATGTTGTTGGTGATGCCGACGGTGGTCGGAAGCAGGTGACCGTTTGCCCTCTCGTATGTTTTACCTTGAGTCTCTTTGGATTTTGATTTTCGTTCCGCGACCATTGGGAATCAACAGTGCCGGGTGACGGCGACTTTTGTACCCGCGGACATCCATGTCCGGCAGGGGGGGGTCAGGCAGGGTGAGGGCGGAGATAATGTAAGATGCCGTCGTTGCTTCTTTGCTTCGCTGACGTGGTCGTCGGCGGTTGGCGGTCGATTCATTTTGTTATTGATGGCCTCCCTCCCTCCCGTGCTTGGTTTTTTGCGTTGTTCTTTCTTCCGTGTAACGTGTGCGAAAAAGACATGGTTTGGTTGCAGAGTTCGTGTCTGTCGGAATGGGTCGTGATCGATTGTTATGTAGTCTTCGTAACGGAATGATGAGAGGCTTCTGTCGGTGGCAGTAGAGTCCACGGTAGTGTGTGTATGGCCTTAAGATTGATCTGATTATTGCTAAAATATAACTGGTAGAGGCTCTGTTGCATGATTTGAACCAATAATAGACTAACGCTGCACAGCAGTATAGTCAGTCGTGTCGGATGTCAAACACGAAAAATTATTTGCTGTTTCACTGTTTTTCTCCTTGTTTGTTCGTCTATCTGTTGTTGTTGTTATTGCACTTGTGTGCATACGGCAGACCATACATATATTGCTCCACTTGCGGAGAGGATATCGAGGATACGCTCAACCTCCTCGTCACAAGGCATGAAGAGAAAGAGAGGCGAACACCCGATGATGATTGTTGTGGTGTTCAGGACATGTTGGACTCGCGTTCGTTCGTCCATCCATCTCTGAAAGGGAACAACAACGAATGAGCTACATAGTCTCCACTCCCCCAGTGGGATGCGACTTTGCGGTTGAGAGCGAAAAAAACGCTGAAAAAAGCTCTCGTGAGTACGTACGAAACTTCGATGCTAGCACCATCGACGAGGGAAAGGGACCGATCTCGCGATTAAAAAAAAATTCAGCGCGCACCGCAGGAGGAAGGTGGGGCGAGAAAACAAAACAAGAAGAAAAGATCCCCCCGGTGTTTGGACTACTCCCGCCTGTGTGACCCTGGATGGTTGGAATTGCACGAAAATATGCCACTGAAAAGTGTATTGCTCTTGCTACGTACACTAAGTACGCGTCTGTCACTACGAATAATGGGGGGACTGCTGTCGCCACAATAAATAAATCAAGTAGGGCGAAAACACACACGGTCGACGCTAATAATAAAAACACACACATATGTTGCACTAAGACTGACGTCTTTTCATTGGTCAGCCGGTTAGCGCGGTCGATGCTAATAATAAAAACACACACACACACACGTACGATCATCAAATTGGGAGATGCAGCATACCACGATATCCTGGCTTCGGCTGGGCTTGAAATAACCCTTTNNCCCTTCCAGGGACCTTGATTTTTACCCGCTGGCACTGACGTCTTTTAATTGGTCAGCCGGTTAGCGCGGTCGATGCTAATAATAAAAACACACACACATTTGTTGGATTTTCACCGCTCGCGCTCGTATGTCTACTATTTAATAATTACACCCGTTCCTTGTTCATCACTGTGTCGCGAGAAATCGAAAAGATCCCAATCGTTCGCACGGGCTTTCGCGGCTGGTTTCGTCGAAGGTGCTCGGGATCTTTTTGTCATCTGATACAGACTAAAAACAAAAAAAGGTGCCCGCAGTTTTCTGATTGGCCAATTTTTTTGACACGAATTTTTTTTGTCTTCACGTCAATAATAATCAAAAAGTAGAGGAGAGGGCTTGCTTACAGAAATAGCTACAAACAACAAACCATCCACTGATGAGAAACAGAATATTGACGCCATGAAATATTCGCGACGAATTCATACAGTTCGGGCACGTCGAATAAAGAAAGGTGTTATTTTTGTGCAGACAGCACCTCAGACAGCAGAACGCTGTAGTCGACAAACAAACATTCATTTTGGTCAAATGCGGGACAAGGGGGATGCTGCTGCTGCTGTAGTCGATTTGTAGTGTGTGGGCGTGTAGTTCAGTTGTGAGCATGCAAACGTGCTGCAGGGATTGCAGGTGTACCTCCTTGGGCTTGCGTACCCTTTTGTTGCTAATACTCATAGTGTGTGTGTTTAGATCTGATGGCTCTAGCATTTTTGTGACCACGGACCCAGTCTTTGCTAGATTTTGGGATTAGCAACTGAAAAACAACAACAACAACAAGACACGGAGGTGATTCTTTAACGGGCGCGTATGGAAGTCTTTGCAGTGAGGAAGAGACACCTTCTTGTTGAGTCTGCTTTGACCCTTGCATCGAATGCCAACCGGAATGAGAACACTGCTGGCGCACGTAGCATCTATGCGGAGCATGCACATCCTAATAATACATATCCGAATCATGTACGTGTGGCATGTTGGCCACGTTCAGAGCTACGGAATGCGGCGAGTTTTCGCTGTTTTTCATAGATCGGACCATTTCACCGGTCTCCCGCCAAATGCCGCAGTTGCTATCGGGTATATTGCTTGCGGTCGTCCAGTCATCCGTGTTGCTGCTGCTGCTTCTACTGCAGCAAGCACACCCGAAGGTGGTAAGCTGCTCGATATCTGACCCCCAGGGGCACGACCAAGCACGGTTCGCTCGTTGACAAGTTGCCCTTGAGAATTCGGAGAACAACAGCAGTTTCGGAGAACCCCTCCGTGTGTGTGCCAAGGGGAGTCAACATCACTTCCAGCAGAGGATAGTCAGCACGAGCTGAAGAGAGGGCATCGTTCGGGTGAATCTACTACGCGCCTGAGCGTCTCGCAGACGTTGCGCAAAGGTGCCGGGCGAAGCGAGGTGAGCGAAAGGGGTGTGTGTATGTGTGTGTTCGATGAGAAATTGCGCTTGTCGAGGATAATGAACGTGGGGTGTGTGACGCCGCCCAGCGGCAGAGGGGGAAGAATATTGTAACAGCACGTTGAACAGGGGGCTTTGGGTGCATTTCGCAGATTTTCGAGGTGTTGCTGGTGGCTCTCTAGCCCCCTTCCGCATGGGAAACTCGCGGTGGAGTGTCAATGCCTCCGTCTTTTAACTGGTGTTGCAGAGGTTCATCACGGATTGTTGACCGCGCAATAACTTTCGACCATGGGAGGTACAACAGCTGTGGGAGGTACAAGAGCTTTGCCAGTAGCAGCTGCAAAATTATGTAAGCTGGAGAAAGGCCACACTGCGGTATGTTTTCAGCAGCAGTTTAGTCTAGAGAGTGCAAGACCCCTTCTAACGGGGCGTTTTGTGTCTGTCTGTCTGTCTGTCTGTCTCTGTCTCTGTCTCTCTCTGTATCTGTCTCTCTCTGTCTCTCGCATGTTATCAGGATCCCTGAGGTCTCTGCGAATGAGCATCTATACACTGCTGTAGACAGACTTGAAGTTACCCCGCTTAGAGCAGTGTAACATCAACGTGACATGCCAAACGGGATTCCGCGTGCATGTGCTTGGGGATACGCGATTGCTGTAAGTCCGACGAGGGCAGGAAGCGGCTGGATCCCTTGTTGCAATAAAAGTCGTTGAAGGCAAGCACACGGAAGTGAAGTGGAGAAAAAAAAAAAAAATGCTAAACCCTTTCTGTGATGACCCACCCCCCTTCCTTCTCCTGCGTCGTTACCCGGCTGGTGCGTCAAAGACCACAACCAAATGTTTTCTTCACTTAAAAAAAATCTGTAACCGCGTGCTAAAGCTCGCCCACACTATGCTTGCTGCAACCACTGAAGCCCCAACCATGTATGTTTTTCCAAGGGTGCAACCTACAGTACCCAGCATTTTCCCCTTCTACATCCTACCAGCATTCAACATGCAGCGGTCAGATGCACCCGATGATGGCCACCACAAAAGTACTGCTGTACTGTCTTTTAGAGCCTGCTACATAGGCTGTCTAGGGGAGATATCGCTGCGCGCTGCTCCGGGAACCGTATTTACACTGGTAGTGCTTCCGCTTCCGCTGTGGATTCATTGCAA